GATGTTTATACAGCGGCGTGAAAATTGGGTTAAAAAATAAAGCATGCAAACTACCTTGACATATATTTTTGCAGCAATGGATCGGGGATGGGCAATGGCTCTGCCTCTGTCCACTGTCTCTGCTGCGATGTTTCGAAAGCAAAGCAAACAGTATGGGATTGGGATTGGGATTGGGATTCGGATTGGACAGGGAATTGGACAGGGGATGCGGATGAGTATCAGCGGCAGGAGGTGGAGGTGGAACAATGCCCGGCTATCCGCACACACTCCGGTATCAATATGCTGTTGCAACTGTAATAAAAGCGCTTTACGAAACCGTGTCTCTCCCTCACTCAGTGTGTGTGTGCACTGGAGGTGATAACAGAACGCGAATACGCCACGTGAGACCGTAGGGCGCGACGCGCCAGCTATTGTGCCCCCAATTCGATTTCCATTTTCATTTTCATTTTCAATTTTAATTTCGATTTTGATTTCGATTCTCGGAGAATCCACTTGCCGTCGATGGGCGTGTGTATCTCACTTAGTCCATTTATATTTCCATTCCATGCTGATTAGGGGCATTATTGCTATCAGCGGTGTGGAAATGTGGGATGTGCTTGGATCGGATTGGAGTAACCTCGACCGTCTGCCCAAGATTTCAGCTTCAGCCCTGTCATCCAATTGCAGGTCTCTTTTAACCACTGAATTCCTGAGATCCTGGCCAGAACCCAATAAAACATATAACCAAAATATGAATGGGAAAGCTAGTCAATCTCAATTATCTGATACCCGATGCTTAAAACTAATAAACTAAGCCTGGAAAGAGCTGCTTGTCATGGATATATAACTTTAAAAGGTATATATCTGATAAGTACAGAAATAAATATAAATAATCATGGAATTAAAAACAAAACAAACTTGAAAATAAAGTAACTTCGGGAAACCTTTCCGTTTGCAATTAAATTACAGAATCGAATCGGAAAGCATTTATAACTAAGCTTTAATTATTCGCATTTTTTGAATCGATATTTATAGATATTCGTATATGAGAATTATTAAGACAAATTAATGATTTAAAAATCGCATAACTAAGCTAAAAATGATTTAATTTCAATTCGGAAAGCTTTCCTAAGTTAGTTTTTATTGGGTTAATAGATCTGCATACTCTATATAAAATTTTAAAAAATTCAAATTTTTTGTTGAATTTTTGACAATTTTAACGATGTAACCCCTTATAAAATTTTGAAAAAATTTCAAAAGAAAATATTTTTTCCCAGACATGTCTAAAACGATTCTCCTGTTAATGCTGATCAAGAATATATATGATTTGTGGGGTCTAAAATGACTCCTTCACTCGTTACGAGCTGCACACTGAAACAATAATACCCTTAAAAGGGTCTGACAATAATATTTACAAGTATATAATATATATTAGTACCAATAAAGCTTTGCCCTAGGAATAATAATATTTATTTAGAAATATATATTAGTTGCGACAATAAGTCACTATTATCAGTAATTAACTATGAGGGGTAATTAACTACGAGGACTAATTAACTGAACAGTAAGTATCTATGACCAGTAACAATGCTTAGTAAGTATCTATGATTAGTAAGTGTGTATGATCAGCTACTAACTTTGAACACTAGTAAACAATGACTTGCAACTTTTGTAACACAACACATATCTGAGACTTGGCTGGCAGCAGTCACTTCGTTCCGGGGATGTTAGAACCGGTTGGGAATCATAGGCACAGATGTGCTAGACTTGTTTTGGAACAAATTTAAGAGCAAGCTAATTAAATGAAACTATGGAGTTATTCTTTTATATAGTTTTACTAGTGTATAAGTCGGAGCATGGCAAATCGGTGTATATATATATATATATATATATATATTTATATATACCGATTTGACATAGGAACAATTGGATGAACTATGATCAGTAAGTAACTATGACCAGTGAGTAACTCTGGACAGCAAGTATCTATGACTAATAAGTAACTATGGTCAGTAAGTATCTATGACCAGTAAGTAACTATAGTTAGTAAGTATCTATGACCAATAAGTTACTCTGAACAGTAGGTATCTATGACTAGTAAGTAACTCTGAACAGTAATTATCTATGACCAGTAATTAACTCTGAACAGAAAGTATCTATGATCAGTAAGTAACTATAGTCAGTAAGTATCTATGATCAGTAAGTAACTATAGACAGTAAGTATCTATGATCAATAAGTTACTTTGAACAGCAAGTATCTATAACCAATAAGTTACTCTGAACAGCAGGTATCTATGACTAGTAAGTAACTCTGAACAGTAAGTATCTATGATCAGTAAGTAACTATAGTCAGTAAGTATCTATGATCAGTAAGTAACTCTGAACAGTAAGTATCTATGACCAGTAATAAACTCTGAACAGCAAGTATCTATGATCAGTAAGTAACTCTAAACAATAAGTATCTATGACCAGTAGGTATCTATGACCAGTAAGAAACTTTACACAGTATCTATGATCAGTAAGTAACTCTGAACAGTAAGTATCTATGAGCAGAAATTGACTCTGAACAGTAAGTATCTATGACCAGTAAGTAACTCTGAACAGTAAGTATCTATGACCAGTAATAAACTCTGAACAGCAAGTATCTATGATCAGTAAGTAACTCTAAACAATAAGTATCTATGACCAGTAGGTATCTATGACCAGTAAGAAACTTTACACAGTATCTATGATCAGTAAGTAACTCTGAACAGTAAGTATCTATGAGCAGAAATTGACTCTGAACAGTAAGTATCTATGATCAGTAAGTAACTATGAGCAGTAAGTATCTATGACCAGTAATTATGTATGATCAGTTACTAACTTTGAACACTAATAAACAATGACTTGCAACTTTTGTAACACAACACATTTCTGAGACGTGGCCGGCAGAATTCACTTCGTTCCGGGGATGTTAGAACATGTTGGGAATCATATGCACAGATGTGCGAGATTTGTTTTTGAAGAAATTAAAGAGCAAGCTATTTAAATGAAACTATGGAGTTATTCTTCTTTTTACTTTTACTAGTATAAAACTCATAGTATGGCGAATCGGTGGACTATATATGTATATGAATATATGTATATACATACATATATGTATATAGCTGCCATAGGAACGATTTTCAACAGATTTCCCTTAAATTTGATATATAATATATGATATAATATTTTATAAAAATTGGGCGATAACCATACGCTTGTATCGTCAAAAATAGAGGAAAATACATATACATATAGGTGAACGAAATTAAAGCAGGCATTACTTTATTGTTTTTTAACATAAATATATATAAAATATATTGTAATAGTTCCTAGTGATCTACAAGGGTATTCAAACTTCACCGTGCCAAAGTTAGCTTCCTTTTTTGTTGTTTTAATTATTTCAAAAATTTAATTATTAACTTAATAACTTAAACATTATATATCCCATTATCAAACCCATTTTCTTGCAGTGCTTTTGAAAGGAGCATGAAGGGCAGGAGGAACTCACTTGCCCGCCTTGCCGTCATCGAGTAGAGCTTAAAAATAATCCAAAGTGTTGACAGGCAGCATCCGCTGGCCGCGGGTTCATGTCCTTTCCCTTCGATAGGATGTTGCCCCGACGGGGCTTGTGTCGTCGGGCCAATGATCTTGGCGTCTGTTGAACCCGCTGCAGGCCAGTCGACTGCCACTCAAGAACATTGTCTGGAGGGGCGCCGTTGCTCTCGGGGACCCGATCTCGGCTAGAAGGCCGAGTCCGTGGCGGGTCATTAAAACGCACAGGTAAATTTTCAAGTTAAAGCCGCTCGTAGATCTCGATTCGGATCGGAACGGAGATCGGATAACTCCAATCTGGGGAGCTCCTTTGTCTCTCCTACGAGAAGTCAACGGCCGGCGGATCTATTTTAGCGTATGCCATTGGCCCTGAACTTGTTTGACGCCGTCTCCGAAGCCTCGAGCCCTTTCCACTTCCTTTTGCAGTTCCATTCTGATTCCCATTCTTGCCACTTTCCGTTCTGGTGACTGGTGCCTTTCCCTGTGCCCTCTTCCTGGTCTTTTCCCCTTTTTTTTTGTATCCCTGTTTCCTCGTCCTGTTCCCTTTGGACATGACTCAGATGTGATTTCTGGAAATCCCCGCCTGAACCCGAAGCGATAGATGTATTGACTGACTTGGCAACAGTAAGGGACAGAAGCTGCCTGGGTCTTACCCAGGGGGAAAACCCAGTCACCTTCCTGGGCTACCTTCTGGTGACTTCCACTCTCATACACAAAGGAAAAAATATATGTATAGTTAAGAGAGTATTAGGAAATATCAAAAAGGTTAATCCTTAGGGATTCTTAAGTTGCACAAGTCACCTCAATCTAGCCATGTTTGTTTTATATACATTCTAGGATTACAAACTTAAAATTTTATATATTTTGAAGCTCAGACAGATATACATATATAGAGATCTCGATCTTTGCTCACTTCTTATATGTATATCTTTATTTTATTTGATTTATTTATTTTGCATGCATTACCTAAGCCACAGAAATAGAAAATGAATAAATATAGCTTCGATATCGACTCGAAGAAGGAGAAATAGGGCCGGGAAAAGCCCATGGCAGATCCCCATGGCATGCAGGTACCAAGGAGTACCTAGGGCCAGGGGTTCCCCTGGTTTGTCAACCTAATGAATGCGCATACGATTTTCAATGATTTCATTTTCAAATTTTTGTACGAAAGTAAAATCTCTCTCTTCCTTTCCCTCCCACCCGCTGATCCGATCCGATTTCGAGTGCTGATGTTACCATTGTCGACGGCCTTCGGCGGTGGCTCTTCCTCGGTTCCTCAGTTCCTCAGTGCCTGAGTTCCTCACTTCCTCACTTTCCCGATCCATTCCCTGTCCGATCCATGTGCTGACGCAGACACGTTGACAGCCCGACGCTGCCCTGTTTGCATTTCTGCCCGAGACTCGTTTCAAATTCTAAAGAATTCCAGTAATCGCAGAGCTCTGCTGGTGACTGGACGTCGGGATCGAGTGGCTCTAACTAAGACAGGAGTGTGGACCAAGGAGGAATTGAGGAGAATCAAGTGAGAGTGGAAAGCGAAAGTGTGATGTCGTCGTCATCGTCCATTGTAGACATGGGCAGCACCGGCTGGATGCCCTCCCTGCAAAGCCTTAGTGTGTTTATCGTTCCGGGACTCCTTATTGGCGTGATCCTTTACCTTTGTGAGCATCAGTATGATGACGTCCTGGGCGTACCGCCACCGGGACCTTGGGGTTTACCCATACTGGGTTATCTGCCCTTTTTGGATGCAAGAGCTCCACACAAATCCCTGCAAGCTTTGGCCAAACGTTATGGCGGAATCTTTCAGCTACGAATGGGTAACATTCGGACGGTATTCCTCTCGGATGTGGCTCTGGTAAGGGAGTTCTTTCGCCACGAGGAAATGACGGATCGGGCACCACTTTACGTCACACATGGCATTATGGGTGGTTATGGTAGGACTCTATACTCTACTTTCTTTCTATATATTTGCTATATTTTTCTATATATCCCGATTTAGGAATCATCTGCGCCCAGGGTGACATTTGGAAACATGCCCGTCGAGAGGTTATCGACTGGCTGAAATCCCTGGGCATGACCCGTCGTCCAGGAGAGCGGCGGAGTCACCTCGAGCAGCGCATTGGTCGGGGTGTGAACGAGTGCGTACAGGTAAGATATCTCCCGGAAACAGAAGGTTTATTATTTAAATAGTTTATCCTATAATTATTTTATATATTTCTGGTTCTGACATATCTGATTTCTTTGTCTAACTGCGACATTGCATAAATTTCCTTATTCTTAAATTTCAATTGCGCCTTTTCCATGCAACGTTCTGCTAAAGAACATCTGGATACGGAAATTGCTTGAATTGCTTAAGGTTTCACTGCTCCTCTGGCCTGACAAAGAACAGGAGAAAAAGTATATATTCAATTCCGAATAACTAAATACTTGATAAGCTAGCAAAATGTTGAGCTTCAGCTTCTCTATATTGAGTGCTGATGAAGCAACTTTGGAAGAATCTCAAACAATTATAGAAAATTTATAAAAATGTGAAAAAATTCCTCAAGAAATGTGATACAATTTGATCTAGAGATGCGATCTATCATCTAAAATTATAATTAATTGTAAAAAATGAACTTAAGCAGGAATATAACAACAATGGAAACTATATTATAATTCCATTTTGACAAGGATAACATAAGATAACATAAGAATAGCCTATTTTTTACTCTCTTAAATAATTTTCCAGCCTACTTAACGTTAATATCCCATATATATATATATTATATATATATATATTATACTATATATGAATTCCCCTATTCCCCAGCTCTTTGGCCAAGAGGCAGATGAGAGTCGCAACTCGGAGTTTGATCCCCAAGGAGCGCTCCATCATTCACTGGGCAACATCATCAACGATCTGGTCTTTGGTATCACCTATGCCCGCAATGATCCCGACTGGCTGTACTTGCAGCGTCTGCAGGAGCACGGAGTCAAGCTCATCGGTGTCTCCGGAGTGGTCAACTTCCTGCCCTGGCTACGCCGCCTGCCCTCGCAGGCTCGGAATATCCAGTTCCTGCTGGAGGGCAAGGCCAAGACACATGCCATATATGATCGCATAGCGGCCGCCTGCTCCGAGCGCCTTCAAAAGAAGCTAGCTCTTCACAATGAGCGCGTGGAGCTGATACGTCAGCAGGAGCAACTAGAGGAGAGGAGGCAACGGGAGAGTCAGCATGGACAAGTGGGGGAGGAATCAGAAGCGCCTGAGCTGGCCGAGGAGCCTGAGGAGGCTGTACCCTCTGCGGAGGAGGGTGACGAGGACCACAGCCATTGTCAACGACATCCACCCCAGCTGATCGAGTATAGCGAAGAGGACGAGCGGCACAAGTATCAACCGCACTGCATCCTGGAGCACTTTCTCGTCGATCGGAAGGAAGGGTCACAGCTTTATTGCGACGAACAGCTGCGCCATCTGCTCGCCGACCTTTATGGAGCCGGCGTGGACACCGCCCTGGCCACTCTCCGCTGGTTCCTAGTCTATATGGCCCGCGAGCAGGCCTGCCAGCGACGGCTCCATGAGCTGCTCCTCCCGCTGGATGCCACACCCTCGCTGGAGGAGCTGGAACCGCTGGCCTATCTACGTGCCTGCCTGGCGGAGACGCAACGCATACGCAGCGTGGTCCCGCTGGGCATTCCCCATGGCTGTGAGCGTGACTTCACCGTGGGTGACTATCGCATCCAGGGCGGCACCATGATTGTCTCCCTGATGTGGGGCATTCATATGGATCCCCAGGCCTTTCCACAGCCCGAGGAATTCCGACCGGAGCGTTTCCTTGGTCCCGATGGGGGATATGTGGCACCACCACAGTTCATTCCCTTCCAGGTGGGCAAACGCATGTGTCCCGGCGATGAGCTGGCCCGCATGATGCTCACCCTCTTTGCGGGGCGCATCCTGCGTCGCTTCCACCTGGAGGTGGCTCCGGATAGCCGGGACATGGACATGGCTGGTGAGAGTGGCATCACCTTGACTCCCGCTCCCTACAAGCTGCGATTCACCAGGCTGCCAGAGCGAATGGAGCTGATGAGGGAGGAGGTGCTGCGGGATGAGTAAAGAGAACAGGTCTTGGCAAAGGTGCAGGATTAGTTTATGTCTTTTTTTTTAATAATATTAATAATACTACTAAATATATGTTATCTTAACCAAATATTAAACATAACCTTGCGTGAATGGTGCATTATTAACTGCTTTTCCTTTTAAAGAATTCTTTTTATAAATTATCTTATAAGTTTACAGATATCTTAAGGGTTTTAGGGAGATTTTCTGTTTACTTAACTTACAACTTTAATTTTAAATTACCTTATGAAAATTCATTTAAATTACTATTTTAATGGGTTTAATAGTACTTATTTTATATGCAAAAAATACTACATATTTTATTTCTTTGGCAAGGCTTTTGTTAAGAATCTATTAATATATTTATATTCATTTTCTAAACCAAATAAATATACAATAAATTCGTTAGGGGTTTTTTTTTGCCTGTAATTAAATTTAATTAGTTTCAGACTTATAACCCAAGAATTACACCTTATTTTCCAAAGGAAATGTAAAAGGAAGGTTTGGAAATAATGGTTTATTTTATTAAGTTTCTCTGGCTGATATCTGAGTTTATTTTTCCCTCAGAAACACTACCAGGAAACAACCATTTCCTTCACTTTTTCTCTGATATTCTCAGATTTTCCCTGAACTTAGAAAGTTTGTGTGTTTTGTGCACACAATTTTCTTTATTGGAGACATATTTCCCATTAGAATCACTACTTGAATAACTTCTCCCCTTCATTTTCATAGAATTACAAAAGCCTGTGTTTTTTCCACAAGTTTTTCATAATTTTCAACATATTTTCTTTAAGAATCACTGTGCAGAAATCTTAATTTCTTCACTTTTCACTCGAATTAAACTTGATTAAAAGGCTTGCTTCTTTTTTCCACAAATTTTTCTTTATTTTCGAATTGTTTGCTTTTTTTTATTATGTGTGCTTGTAAGACTAAACCACAGTTTGTTTTGTTTTGTTTGTTTGTTGGTTGCTTGTTGTGTGTTTTGGACATTAAGCTAGCACTAATACTATAAAATAAACAAGAACGTTAACTAACTAAACTTAGTCGGCCCCTGCTGCTGGCTTTAGCATTAGCAATTAGCATCGGCACTGACAGCAGGGGCCCCATAATAGCGCTAATAATAAAATTAATAACTAAACCTAAGGCTTATAGATATATAAAAACATAAACATTAAGGGCTAGCCTATGGAATTGAATCGTAACTATGATACAGACTACTACTAAGGGGTAATTAAAGTTAGTTGAACACAGCTTCTTGGGGGTGAAAGAATAGATTTGGTTGCAGTCCAAGCCTCGATGGGCTTGGCTGGCTCCTCTGGCTCCTCTCCTCCTTGGGACCCGTCTCCTCCTCGCTAGCGAGGAGCGGTCGCCTCCTTTAGGGGTTTGTGTTTGTGTTTTCTCCTTTGTGCTTTTTTTTTTCAAACTTGTTTTTCTTTTCTTTTTTATGTGTGCTTTTTTTTGTGTAGGAACAAAACCGTGCTCTGCAGATCTCCTGGGCATCCTTTAGCCTGGCCAGGATCACTTTCAATTGGCGCCAACATTGCGCATATGATGCGGATCAGCGGCTGTGGGCGCCAGTGGACGGCGCTTCAGGCAAACCTTGAAAGACTCCGGCGTAATGGTGGCACCTACATTACCCTTGAGACTGGGCAATGGCTGACCCTCGGGCAGGGCAATGTCAAAGCAGTGCATGAAGGAGGCAAAGAACAGGAAGAGCTCCATTCGTGCCAACACATCGCCAAGGCACATCCGCCGCCCCACGCCAAAGGGGATGAAGTACTCGGGCTTGCGCACCTTGCCCTCGGTGTCGATGAACCGCGACGGCCGGAACTCCTCGGGCTTCTCCCACAAACTGGGATCCATGTGGACACTGTTGATCAGCGGGATGACGTGCGAGCCGGCCGGTATGGTGTACCCATTGAGTTCCACATCTCTGTGAATGGGAAAAAGGGGGTAGTCAGGAGAGAGGAGATTAGTAATGGGTTTAGTGCATCATTTGCGGCAGCTGAAGATTATCAGTAGCAGCAGCAGCAGCAGGGGCTGGACACACCGAAACTGGGCCACGCTCGGCTGGGGACTACGACTTGGTATTGGAATTGAGATTGAGATTGGGACTGAGTGCTGGAGGAGGCGACGGACAGCCGCGACAATGAATGGTGATCGTAGATCGTAGATCGCAAATCACAAATCTCGGCTGGCATCTGGTGTGAATGAACGGACCTCGTCGCAATTGCGTAGATCTCTTCACTAAGCAGTGCGTAAGCACTGATAGCACCTCTGGCCAGTCCCCCAGAACCCCCAGTTTCTCCCTAATACCCGATTCCAAGTGTAAAATCGAATGAGTAAGTGAAATTTACCTTGTGGGTGAGTGTGTGGTGGCCAGGGGCACAATGCTAGAGCGACGCATGGACTCCAGAATGGTGGACTCGGTAATGGGCAGGTACTGCAGATCCTCCATTGTTGGCAGACGATGACGTCCCACCACCTGATCAAGCTCATCCTGAACGCGACGCATTTCCTTGGGATTGCGAAGCATAAACACATTGATCCACAGGAGGGTGGTCTTGATGGTTTCCATGCCGGCCGAAAACAGATCAATGATCACCTGAACCAGCTGTTCCTCTGTAAAGACAAAGGATAACAGGGAAATAGGATATCAGTTTATGAGGAACTACTAGGCAGGGATATTCGTGGAATATATATCATCTTAAAGACTTCAACTCACCATGATTTTTGCCATCGAAAAGCTCTGCATCAGTGCCCTCGGCCTTGGCCTTCTCAATTTCGCAGAGATAAAAGTCAACCAGGTCACGAACATTACTGGGATCAAAGCTACGCTTGTGATCATCAATCACATCCTGGTAGAAACGCTGCATCTCTGCCCGATTCTGGGCAATCTTATTCTTGGCCGTGGAGATGCTGGGGAAGCACTGCATCGTGGGTATATAGTCCACGGTATGGATCTCACCAAACAGACGCATTCCCTCTTCGATGAGGAAATTGAAGCGACGGAATTTGGGATCATCAATACTAAACCGAGTGGACATCATGAGGCTGCAGATGACATTGCTCACGGCCACGGAGATGACAGGTGAGAGATCAATGGGTTTTCCATCGCTGGCATGGAGATGACCAATGAACTCGTGAACCTCCGTCTGAGGAAAGCAAAGAAGGTACCAAGGCAAAGTTATTGGCTGCTCAATGTCTCTCCAGGATCCTTTTAGATACTCACCATAATGCGCTTCTGCATCTGCTGTTTCCCGCTGCCCATGTATGTCATGCCAAACTGGCGGAGCTTGTCATGAAGGAAACGGCGTTGATCCTTCCACAGTTTACCAGTGCTATTGATAATGCCTGCACAGGAGGAGAGGGAAGAGGAACAAGGGTCCGGTTAAGATCATTTTACGTTTTTTATATGACCATTTTCCCCCCCAATTAATTGAGGTAGGCTCTTCCAGAGAGGCTGCCCTACTTCCTACGGTGAAGCGGAATGCCAGAAAAGAAATCCCAGTGCAAAAAAAAATTATATATATACAAAAAAGCTAAAATGTTTTACAATCTCCGACAGAAAACGTGATTTTGGCATACAAAAAATGCCGCGATGCGTTATCATTGGCAATAATAAAGAAACAAAAACAAAAACAAAAAAAAATCATATAATTGCAGCTAAAGGCGAAATCAAAATAAAATTTAATAATAAAACAATATAAAAACAAAAGCGAAAATAAGAAACGAAACAAAAGAGAGCGAACCGAAACAGAGAAATGCCAGTGGAATTTCTTCACTTAATTATTTAAACTTTCCGCGGCTTAAGTGCAACCCCTTTATCACTCCCTACACACAGGTATGTATATTTAAAAATATATATTTATACTGATATAGTGATACGTAAGATCTGGACTTGGCTCCAGGTAATGATAATATTTTGCTTTCACAGCAAAATAAAAAAAGTCAGGGGAAAAATAGTCACTTAGTTGCTGGCTGGCCGAATAAATCGCGTAGTAAACAGCGTAGTTTTTCCTATATATATATGAAGTATATATATTTATTTATATTCCCAGGGTCACCGTGGAAATTCCCAAGCCTAAGGCTTTATAACTAATCCCCAATCCCTTTTGGAAAACTTACCGTATCCATTTAGAGTCTGCATAAAGGGCGTGTCCGGCCTGCCGGTGAACTCCTCGCGGCGGAAACACTCCCTAATCATTTTGTAATCACTCATCACCACGGTCAGTTGGCTACCAAGTCGGGTGGAGAACAAGGATCCATATTGCTTGGCCAGTTCCATGAAGCGGGTGTGCTTCTCGTTGCCCATGAACAGCAGATACCCGATGACGGGCAGACCCCAGGGTCCTGGCGGTAGCTTGCGGAGCTCCCTATAGTTTCGCAGGAGCCACTGGAGCACACTAACCAGGCTAAGGAGTCCCAGGAAGACCATTAGCAGGTGCTGGGCATCTCCGGCCTGTTGCACCTGCAGTTGTCGCAGCAGAAACTTGATCAGGTACGAATCTGCCATGTTGAAGGATTTATTGTTGTTTGAAGGAAAGGAAGGCAGGCAGGAGAGTCCTTTTGGATTCCGATGGTGCCTTCTTCTGGACGTTTTGGGCGGGAGTTTTTCTTCTCTAGAGACTGGACTAAGCTTGGAGAAGGATCTTTCTCGCTAGCTTGCTCGCTCGTTCTCTCTCACTCCTTCTCGCTCGCTCGCTCGCTGTTTATTGGCCGCACTCCTTGCTGGCCATTGGTGTTCACTTTGGTTTGACTTTTGACTTGGCGCTTGGCGTTGCACACTTGCAAAAAAAAATAATTCAATTCTCAAAAAAATACAATTTTTTTTGAAAATATCCTGGCTTTGGCGGCAAAAAAAAAAGTGTGTTTTTTTTTAAATATTATTTTTGTCGGGGTACGCGCAGCACGGTTTGGGGTTTACGTTTACGTTTACGGTCGCTGCGATTTACTGTCACGGAGTACAGAGACCCGGAGACACGGAGACGATTTCGCGTCGAGCGTTTATAGTTTTCGACTAATGGCTCGACCGTATGTCCTTGCCACTTTTATAACAACTCGCGACGCGCGCGCCGCGCTTCGATCGAGCGAGCGAGCGAGTGCGCAGCGAGCAGAGCGCCGCAGCGAGCACAAGCGAGTGATCGGAGTGATCAGAGCGTTCGGAGCGAAGCGGAGCGGAGCGAGCGGCGCTCTGTCTCTGGCTCGAGTCTCCACACATCTCCGTCACCGTCACCGTCTCCGACTTGGATTCGGTTTCGGCCGGCAGAGGCTCACCCTCCCTCCCCCTCTCGAGGCCCTCCTGCTCCTCCACGCCCCCGCTGCTGCTGCTGCTGCTGCTGCTGCGCGCCAAGCGCCGCCGCCGCCTCGATGGCTCTCTAGACGAAGCAGCGCCATCGTCGTGGGTCTGCTCTCCACAGCCAACGAACCAACCAACCAACAAGTTTCCCCAAAGTTAAAGCCAGCAAGCCCAGGGCAGCAGCAGCAAACAGCAGCAGCAGCGGCAGCGCACAGGCGGCGCACTATCATTCGCTCGAACTCCAACTCGAGCCAACCGCAACTCGCTTGCAGCTCGCTCGATGGCCCAACACGTTTGAGTGGGTTCGATGGGACTCAAGAGATCCGCCACTCTCACTCTCTCTTTCTCTTCGGTGGAGCTCGGCGCTCTGATAGGGAAATGGATCCGATCCGATGCGATGCGATGCGATGCGATCGAATCCGATCCGATTCCGATTCCGGATCCGCGAGGCGGAAGCTGCTGCAATGGTCTGCAGCTCCGCTGGCGCCGCTGCTGCTGGCGCCGCTTCTGCTGCTGCTGCTATTGCCGGTGCTGCTGTCTGTGCTTGTCGCGGATCTCGGAATCGAAATACCGAAAAGCCAATGCAAAATTTGCATTTTGGGTCAATAGCGAAGCCTTCAGCGAAGATCGCATCGGATCGCAATTAGCTATAGGCTAGCGGTGGCTATTCGGAACTGGAACGGGAATGCGAACAGGAATAATAGGATCGAATCGCAAATCGAGCTTAATATATTCGCATTCTTGAATCCATATTTCACAACATTTTTATATGACAATTTTTAAGACAAATTCAAGTTTTAAAAATCGCATAACTAAGCCAAAAATGCATTAATTTTCATTCGGAAAGCATTTCTATGTTAGTTTTTATAAGGGTAATAAATCTGCATACTCTATATAAAACTGAAAACAATTCAATTTTTTTTTGAATTTTTTGACAATTTTAACGATTTAACCCCTTATAAAATTTGGAAAAAATTGGAAAAAAAATTTTTCCCTACAAAGATGTCTAGATCGATTCAGCTGTTGATGCTGATCAAGAATATATATGATTTATAGGGTCGGAAATGACTCCTTCATTGCGTTTTATGCTTCTGACTGAAATTATAATACCCTGCCAGGGTATAAAAATAAGCAGTCGTCTTATGTTTTTCTTTAAAGAATCTTATTTTTTTTTAAAAACACTTTAAAATATAAAAATATTTTATATATTATTAAGAACTTAACAAAGATACAAGGAGTTAAAAGTAGGGCTTTGAAACTGTTCTTATAAATACTAATTATAAGACCAATTTATGTATATGTACATATATTAAAACAGAAAATAATTAATTTTCTCCTTAAAAAGACATGATCCTTTACAAGGTCCCATGATCATGATCTAGGAATAAAGGTTTCAGCTTAATTACTAAAAAATTTATGAAATATATATATATTAAAGAGATGGAATTAGTAATTATTCATAATCCCTTTATATAAATGTTATATTCTTTATATTGTAATGATGAGACTTCATTCTTTAATAAAGATGAGTATAGTATAAATAACTCAAATAATAAATAAATATCAGTGTATTATAAATAACTTAATTAATTCATAAAGATAAGTAAAGTATAACATAACTTAATTTATTAATAAATATCGGTCTAGTATGTATAGTTATTAAAATTGTTTTGGAATATAAATAAAAAGTGATAATATATAAAACATATGCTGGGAATTTCAGGGAATTTTCGAGATTGACATTTACTATGAACTTTATATATCGCATATGCGATCCTCTCCCCTAAATTGAACCTGCCACATGCGAGGTGTCAGCCGGGAATTCCCGGGAATTTCAAGTTCAATATGAACATCAATAATTATTAATCGACGCAGCGAAGTAAACAAGAGAATTCAGAGAGATCTCATTTCAAATGCATGCATCTTTAATCAATTCTGCAGAATTTCTGCTGCTTTCGATTTCGTTGTCGTCTGGTGTCTTCTGTCTTGTGTCTTCTGTCTTGAGTCTTCTGTCTTGAGTCTTCAGTCTTTGGTCTTTGGTTTTGAGTAGCCACCACCGTTGCCGTTGTCTTTGGCTTCAACTTCGGCTTGAGGTTCGGCTGCCAGTGGCCAGTTTGTGTCCAGTTTTGGGCTTGGCTTTTGTTTGTTTTCGGCGCGGGCTTTAATATTTATCTGTTTTCGTGTCGGCGGCATGCCGGTTCTTTTGGCTTAAGGACAAGGTCCGACCCTCAGAGCTGCTGACGTCGGAATACGGAAAATACGCGCGCCACCAAGAAATTTCGATTTCGATATCGATTTTAGCTTTTGGTTTGCCGTTTCGAAATATTCATATGCATATGAAAATGTTGTCATTGAGTCTGGGGAGGGGGGATTGGATTGAAATATCGGAAGCTGAAGGCTACCCCCAGTCTCTGAGGGTCTGGGAAACCCTAGAAATTTCGGTATGCCTTTGACCCACATTTTGGCTTTTAGCTGGAATCCGTTGGTAGCCGCATTGGAATTCAAATTGCAATCGTTATCCCATTTAGCTGTTTCGAAAATAGATATTGCAGGCTATGATCCGGTTGTACAAAAATCCAGAAATATCAAACAATTATCAAATAATTATGCAAATTGCAGCAGGTTAAATCTCCGGACTTATGCCGGCCAATGAACTTATTTGCATGTCCATTTAAGCTGGGCTTCGTCTCGGTTTTATTGCCATTAGAACACACTCCCTGAGGAAGATGATAACCCCGGGTGGTGGTCTCTCCCAGGAGGTGCTGGGAATTGGTCAGACTGCTAATCTGGGGTCTTTAAGAGTCATCAAATGACATGACTTTGAGATAACACAAAAACAGGCACGAGCCCCGGGGATTATCTAGGATTTCAGCGCGAAAATGATCTAATTTTCCAGATATAAAGATATATTTATAGATAGTTACACAAGTTCTATTACTACAAGTCCTGTGTTTCAACTGCTCTCTTCCATGATCAAAATGTTATACAAACAATTATTATATTAGCTTGATTTTTTCGTCATTTTAAATTCTTATTTTTGTATTGTTGCTGTTGCTGTGTGTGCGATTCCCAAATGCCAAATGTGAAGCATCCAAGGCCAACACGCGCCGACGTCCGGAGCAGGGATGAGTGAGTGACGCACCTGATGGGACCTGGGACAGAGCACAGGTATATGGGCACAGGTATATGGGCCCTTAGCGCACAGGTACAGCATCGGTTTGGGATGTGCACAAGTCATTGAACTCAATGGCCGATGTCCGATCTGCGATCTGCAGTCAGCGATCTCCAATCTGCGATCTCCTTCGACTTCCAGCTGCCGCCTAGGAACGACTAGGAAACGGAAAACAAAGCACTTGGGCTCAAGACAAGAGACAATGGCCCGGGTCTGGACCTGAGCCTGGGGTTCAATGACTTCCAATGGCGATCGCTCGATCGGGTGCCGGAGAACCGGGGAGGGGGCAGGACCTGTCCAGCCTCAGGATTAGCAGAGGCAGAGAAATGAAAAACGAGAACAGGAAAACTGTTTCATCTCTCTCCATGGCCTTGGCTGCGGTCATTGGCGCTGGCCAGGAACAGGATGGGCAGACAGACAGACAGGATAGGGCAGTGTGCGTGCCGCAGAAGTTTCCAGGAACTGCCGCCGAAAGGCTAATGACTGCTGCCCCTCTCTCTCTCCCTCTCTCTCAAGCAGGCAGGCAACCTAGCAACATGGCAACTGGTCACAGGTTCCATCGAGTCCCAGCAGAAAGGGCGAGGGCTCAAGGATGCCAATGACTCATCTCATAGGAATGCCTTAAATCAGGAAACTGGATATAGTCCAGGGCTAGGAGCTGGGGGGCTTTCCAGGAATATGCGGTGACTCCCCCTAGAAGCATAATCAGGCATCAACAAGCCCAGATCTTGCTCGCACATCCGATTTGATAACGTGTTTTGCCATCGGTGCATAATATTTATATATATGTATAGTATGATCTTGTTTCTTTTCGTTTTGCATATTATATATATAATAAATATAATATATAATATAGATAGTAAGTAACGTGATTCCACGCATCGCGTAATAATTGAAATAAATGCGCAATCCCAGCGTCATCAGCTATCTATAATGTATATTCTATATGTTTCAGTGCGTACTATCTAAGGGATATACTCTGCCTAGGTGTTGCCTGACTTTTCCATTATTTTTAGTAAAAGAAATATTCAATTTTCTGTATTTT